TTTATCGCATTTTACGTATTCCAGTAAAATCCTGGTAATAAATCTGTCAGTAAAAGTCGGTTTTATTTTTTTAATTCTACTGTAAAAATTATTATCAAGTGATAGGATTTGATTTATAAACAAGATAATTCATTAAAATGTAAAAAACCTGTATGTTTTGCACACCTAACACGAATCTGGTCACCTATTATTTTCAGTTACATGTATTTTGAATGATTTAATGTTATTTACCAGTTATTATAGATTTAATAAGATTATGTAATTTAAGATGCTTAATCCAGCCTCAGCTCCAACTAATCTAAACCCATTTCGTGTCAGCCGTTAAAATAGAAATACATAATCTCTTGCATTAACAATTGAATTACATATATTTTATCGTCGAAGGTATAGAGTGAAATATTTCTGCAAAGATTAGTATTAGTATTAAACAGTTGAAAATATATAATTAGTAGTCAATCGACTACAGCATATAGGCTTTGTAATTCTTATAGTGAAAAGTTATCCAAATAGAAGGAAATAAAAGTTTATTTAAATTAAATTGTTTTGGTATATTAACAAATTAAGTGGTTTTTATGAAATTCTAATATGGAAGTTCGGTGGATTAACTTTTAAAATGAGATGTCGCGGATACAGCACATGACATAGTTAATAGTAATAGACAACCAGATTCCGTATTGGATACATACAGATATTTGTCAATAAATACAGAATATTATACTCACAAATTATCCAAAAAAATTTGGGAATAGATGCGGCATGAGAAATGGAGTCAATATCGTAAAAAAAATTTTTGTAAAATCCTTATAGTTTCCGAGAAAAAAATATTGAAGTTATAGTACATTCAATCACTACATAGCTGGACAACTGTAGTCTCTAGCGTCATTCGCAATACGCGTGGAGAGCCAGGTTGGCTTCAGCTACTCCGAATATTGAAATCGGATTTTGCAATCGTCGTTGCGATAGTATTTACCTGTTATCTGTGGTGTTTACAATAGTTTTTTAGTAGTTAGTGTCAAAAATGGGTAGTTAGTGTCAAAATTGGTTTTGATGGATTTGTGTTATGGCGAAGCAAGACATTTGTGTTAGTTCGTAGAAACTGAGTAAGACGGACCTAAATGTGTTTACACGTTGGTGGATAAAATTTTGAACAATGGTTGTTGTAACATCGGGTATGACAAATGATTTTATTATTTAAAAGCACAAATTAATTTTATTAATAATAAAAGCAAAGCAGTTAAATTTGCCGATATAAAATAGGTGCGATAAAATTCTATTTACATATTTCTTTCCTTGCGAAAGTTTTTGTTCGTTTTTATCACACCGTCATGCCGGTCGCATTGTGCGAGGTCAGGTTTTACAGTGGACCAGTTTCCAGTGCCGTGCAGAAGTGTATTTTTAAATCATTTTCGAACTGCCCTTTTTGATTTTTTCTGTATAAAACTGAATTTATAAGGGTCCCCTGTACATCAAATTTTTTTTTTTTTGATAAGTTCTGAATCACCCTGTATTCTTCAAAATGTTTAATACATTTGTGTTACTTAACACCGAAATGTCGAAAAAATAACTAACTTTCAATCAAATCCAAAAGGAGGAGAAACTGTGGATTTACTGTGTCTTATGTCAATTATCGAAATTTTGATTCTTTTGGGTATGCAGAAATATTTATATTTATATGTGATTATTGTCGATATTTTTATTTTTATTTGGAATACATCTTAGTTGAAGATATGGTTTTTTTCCAATTATATTTTTGTAAGTTCCATATTACTGGCAAAATTTTTGGTTATACCGGATGGACTATTTTGGTGGCGCATATTTTGGAATCATAGAAACTATAAGAGATAGAAAAATTATTGTTATATGGAGAAAGTCTTGGAGACAGAAAAAAAAACACAAAGAAAATAATTATTTCTCGCAACGGCAAAACCGAATTAAAAATTCACACTGAAATTATTTGCAAAAAATTGATCTAATAAAGTTTTTCCTGATTTCATAAAAGTAAAAAATATAAGTTTTTTTTCTCGAGCGAGCACTATTAAGTTAGTGGTGTAAAACTATCCATATTTTACTATTTTCCTGTCTCATGTCCTATACAAATCTCTAACGCAATTCTGAAAACGTTTATAAAACATAAATTATTCCTTCTTCTATCTATAACGTTTACAAAATAATTTAAATATAGGGTTACCGGTACATTTCCTTTGAAATTATATTTTAATTTGTACCCATTCAAATGAAACTATTTAAACCATCTTTAATATTCAAATAACAACATAAAAATATATAAGGCGCCTAGCGAACAGTATTGTTTAAAATATAGTGATTTAATTACTCTGTGATATACTGTATTAGAGAGTTAATTTTTCAATACTTTTATAACTTGTTTGAAATAAAAACTGCCCATAAATTCAATTAACATTAATTTTATTAAGCTCAAAATAATAAACAGGTCAATTCTGTACCTGGCAGGCAAGCTATATCTGGCACCTGTCCTTTATCTATCTTTATTTTGCTGCATAAATTGTCACTCCAAACTGGCACCCATCCAGTCGCCCGTGAGAGCGCGTTCTTGAGTGAGTACCCCCGACGACTATATTTAACGTGGAGATTGATGACTTACATGGAACAAGTAGCTCTTATAATATGTAGGAATTTGAAGTTTCAAAATAGCCGTTAATTTTTACTCGAGTCTATCCAGATCTTAATTAGTTAACCTGGATTCCAAGATAGCCTTAAATTGGATGTTTATTTATCATGTATGCTACCTTTCACTTTCTTGGTCTCATAGAACTCGGTATGTTCACAAGAACTTTCTTGTAAATCAAATATGAGGATATTTTAAAAACTATCTTCAAATCACGTACCTCAAAGACAACGGGAGGATATTTGGAATTTTGCAAAGGGTACCAAGCTATTTAATACAACAGAGATGATGAGGAACATAAAAAACAAAGAATTGTTTTTACTCCGACAGTTAGTCAATGGCTAAAAGCAATCGACTCACATTACATCAAATTTGAGTTGTATGAATATATGTATACTGGAAAAGCTAGGAGACCCTAGTTTGGGTTCTGAGACGTGAAAGTCATAGGGCAAAGAGAGGGCTGATGAGTTCGCCAGAGTAGATTCATTTACAGAGGGTCTAACAACGCTGCGAAATTGCTTAAAGTTCTTAAGAGAATAATCGAAGAAATAGACGACGAACCTACTGAACGAAAGCCTATGATCGATACTGATATGCCGTAGCAGGATCGATAGGTACTTACAAATAGATAGATATAAATCCACCAAATCTGACATATCAGTCCTGTTGACTTGATCTGTAAGCAACGAGATTCCATTTTCATGGCGATCATCTTTCATTGAAGCGGAACTTTAATTAGTGGCCAAATTTCTTTAATTTGGTTATTTGACCTGTTAGTTTAAGTTGAAGGTACGCTGAAAGTCAAGAACATTTTGTTTGTTTTATTGTAGATTGCCATTAATGTTAAAAATAAGAAGTCTGCTAACTAAACATTGCAGGCTTAGGATACATGTAGGTAATAATAGTCTATAGTAGAAGGCAGTTTGTTTACATTCTGTCAAGAGGAAGAAGAGCTCATATATTGTCAAAATAATATAATCTATCACAAAAATGTATGAATTAAATTATTATTTTCTAAAATTATATTACCCAGTTATAAACATAAGTTAGTTGTATTATTATTTGGATAAAACATTGGATGGTATATATTTAATAACTAATATTTTTTACTTACGATAATTTTCGTTATTTATACCACACAGTGTTTGTAAGTTATTAGTCTTATTTTTCTGATAACAACATAATAGGCAAAGCTCCAGTTGTTCTCCAACAACAACAGATCACACAAATACGTGACAACATTATGACAGGGAGAAAGCTTGTTAAGGGTGCACTATCGAAGTTGTGGAGCTTACCGAGAAGATTAAAGTTATATGAGGAACTCTTATGATCATGGAGGTTCATAATAGACAAAAGGACGGTAGCAGAGAAAAAGTTGGTTTATCCACAAATAAGTGTAAATCTCCTCTTTTCTTCCTTTGCAGGGATGTAGATGGATCTGCTTTGGGACATTATCAGAAAAAGTTGTAAGAATTGATACCAAGCACTCCCACTTTGTTATAATTTATAATTTACGTGTTTTTGGGTACCTGCAGAACAGTTCGATTGTGTCGCATACCTATATTGTTTCTATCTCTAATTGAAATGTATTTCTAAATATTAAATTTGCTATTACCTTCTGATACAATTCCAATAATCAAAAAGGTAGTAGTAGTATCGAATGCAGTAATAAATGTCCTATTTTCATATGCTGCTTTCAGGAAAATTGGAAATAGACAATAGAACTGGTTCCATTTTGTTAGACAATTTTGGTAATACTTTAGTGACTCTAATATACAATATGATATTGAATAGTATCGATTTCATTAATTCTAAAAGTTAGTAACCTTAAGTCTGTTCAAAGAATTGCCAATTTATTGTAACAAATAAGAATCTGCTACAAATTATTTACTTACTCAAGAACTGATGAACATCTATAATATTTTTTAGAAACAAAGTCATGACTGATCTTTTTGGTTACCCATTTTTTGAAAGTTGCAATTCCATACTGTATTTATTTTCACTTATTCTAAAGCCAAGATTTTATTTGGTTTGGTAATCATTATGGACATAAATTATCCATAAAAAGACGTTCTTAAAATCTTAAAATGTAGATCACTTTAATGTAATGTTTTCGATAGGAAATCAAAATCATCTGACTCCAAAGTTATCACTTTAAATTTAATAAAGTTAAAAATATGTAGTCCTTATATGTGGTGGTGTCTCAACAATATCTGTAATTCTTCTTAAACGTAGTACATATGAATGGCAAACAGCATTGTGTGCAAACCATGTATTAATGTTTTGATTCAAAATCATAACTAACGGTTAAACTAACACTACTCCCGGAGAAAAAATAGGTTATTTTGATACTCACATTCATTAAAGCTTTTCCTTCTTCTGTGGAAGTGAGACCAATCAATGAATGCTGGCAGTTTTCGGGGCAATGCGTTGGATAGGGACCTTGGAGTACCGCGGAACATCCTACAATGTAGTTCTGTAGGGCCATTCCACAGCCCATCCTGTAGGCACATTTCATTCGCGCCTCCTCACATGGTATGGCCGATGCTACACCGGTTAACGACGCCACTGCTAACATGATGTGCCACATGCCGACTGCAACAAGAAAGATGTTTAATGAATTTCATTGGATAGGATTTTTATATAATTAAAAAGCTTTCACTATATTTATATATAGATTGATTTCAGTTTAAATACAGAAACTGCAGAAATAGATTAGTTTTCAAAAAATAAGTAGAGTTTGCTCTATAAACTTTTTTCCTAGGAAACGGGGTATGCGAGGTACAGTTTTCAAAAAAATTATATTTTCTGTCATATTTTCGTTGAACGATTTGAATGAAATTTACTCAATTTACAGCGTATTCACTTAAGTAGATCTTTTATTGAACGTAATATTAACTTCGTGGTGTTAACCAGTGGCTTGCTACTGAATGTGCAGTTCCGTTTTCTCAAGAAAAAAATACGCCACTGGCGGTTTTTTGTCAAAATAATGTGAAATTCAGGTTACGTTAAAGGAATGAAAAATGTTTTTTAATAATAGCAGCTGTTTAGAAGATATTTGGGCTTCTTTTTACATTTTATTGAATTTTTCTAATAAATTAATCTGTTTATTTGATGAAAACCTCCTGTTTTTCTATAGAAATAATGTTGTTTCTGTGTAATACAAGTGTTTGTAGTGTTTATAGAAGATACAAACGTTTTGTTGTATCCTTTGTTTGTGGCTTTAGCACCTAAATGGTTTTGCTTTCTTGTCAATTCAGTGTTATACTGCTTATTTCTTTCCACGTTTCGCGGAAGGCTAATAAAATAATAAATTTTCTTAGGTGTCTTCACACTAATGCTCTCACACTGGGGAACAATACAATTTTTTTCTATTCTGTGTCTTCTATATTACTAACAAAAACTAAAACCACTACCCGACTACTCGACTGAGGACTGACTGACAACACACGCGGCAGCGGTTTCCCATGCGGTGATGTCACACCCCTTCATCAGATACAGCGCGTCAGTTTGATTTTTTTAGGATGACTTGTAGGCGATATAAAATTTAAATTTTTTGCAGAGAACCTTAAAATTGCAATACCTTCCCGTTAAACAAATAAAAAAATGCTGAATAAGCCCATTGCATGTAAAGTCTTTCTTGGTGTTTTTTAATAGAAAATAATTTATTTATTTGCCGTCCATAATGCGCAAATTTAGTCTAATACTCATATTTGTTTAAAATTCATCTTTGTATATTTCATAGGTTTTCATCAAATAAACAGATTAATTTATTAGGAAAATTCAATAAAACGTAATAAACAAGCCCAAATATCTTCTAAACGGCTGCTACTATTAAAAAAACACCAAGAAACATTTTTCATTCATTTAACGTAAGAGGACTTGAATGTAACAAAATACCGCCAGTGGCGATTTTTTTCTTGGTAAAATCGGGCGGCACCTCCAGTAGCACGCCACTGGTTAAAACCACAAGGTTAATATTAAATTCAATAAAAGGTCTAATTAAGTGAATACGCTGTAGTAAATTTCATTAAATTCCGTATTCGCATTACGAAGATATGGCAGAAAAAAAAATATTTTTTTGTAAACTTTAACACCCTGTATCTCGAATACAGAGTCCTGCAGGAAAAAAGTTTATAGAGCAAACTTATTTTTTGGTAATGAAGCTAGTCCCACCGTTTCTGTATTTAAAGTGAAATCACCCTGTATATTGTAGAGGTTCAAAATAATTGAAATTAAACTAAAACTAAAACTTCCTTTCAAATCCTCTATTTGCACAAACATTTCTTTAAGACTAGTATTTTTGCAAGTAGTAACAGATTGAGACACAAAGGCACGTGCAAGTGAATAATTTTAATAGCTTTTAATTTGTCTTCAAGTGCCGTAACGCCACGCCTAGTTATTAAATAATAATTGTTTCTTCTTTTTCTTCTTTTCAGTGTATGTCCTTTTCATACCTCTAAACTGCTCTATTATCAGTGCTGCGTATCTTTTGAAGTCACCGTACCAATGTTTTATTAGCAATTCTATGCTTTTTCTGACCTACAATCTGCATATCAACATTTTGCCATTTTTTATTTTAAAGGAACTACAGAAAAGTCATCAGTTAACAATTATTACTATTTATTGTTAACGATTTGTAATCGGTTTTTCGTAATAATCAGTTTCTGCTGGATTATCAATACGACTCTCAACAGCTAAGATTTCCGTTTAGTGACATTTTACTATTATAATTTCTGTAGATGAACGAAGTTGGAAGTAGTACCAAAACATGACTTCTTCAAGAGGTTTTTCATCATTTTGGTGTTGCAGTTTTAAAAATTGTATTATCTAAATTTGCTTATGATTGCATTAACAAAATCATTCACAATCAGTCCAATATTAATATTTTATATATTTTAAAGATTTTGTGATAATGGAATATGTTGTTTAAATTAGCATATAAAAATTAATGCACACATTTTAGCTAGCATCTATTTGATTTATGATTTTTACACACTTATTGGTTGCTTAGTCGTGGGGTCAACAAATACAATTATTACTTTACAAGAAAGTGTTCTTTATCTAGCTATTGGCAAAACAAGAGAATAGTAAACAAATGCACTAAAATAGACATACAAGAATGTGTTTGTCTCAACCGACCAGTTTTGTAATGTTTATGTGAAATAGATTAATTATAGAAAACATTTAATATCAATAAATAATAGTAGATTTTTAGGACTTACGGACTAGCCACCTCCTAGCCTTTTTATTTACTGATGGATTTCTATTCTTTTTCTAATTATTTTATTAAATAAGTATAGTGGAAACGTGACCAAGTATTTATATCCTGTGTGATTTTTCTTTTGTGTAAAAATTGAGAAATGTGTAACATTCAACAAATTCTTACCATTTCCATTTTTTATTTATCTTATCTGTTACAGCGATCCAACTTTTTCGATAAATATTGATAAATATTTGCAAATCTTGTCAAAGGTTTTTACTACCACTTTACACTTTTATCCACTTGAGTTAAAAAAAATCTTTTTATTTTCAATATAATACATTGCTCAAAAACATCCAGGAACTTAAAAAAAAATTATGGCAAAAATATTTAAAAAAGTCTTCCTTCTTTGGAAGTATGTTATGAGAGCACCTAAAAATATTCGTAATTATATATTACATATAGTATATTATATATAACATACTGTTTTGGACTATAAGTAACTTTGAGGTAGAACCATTAACATATTTTCCTAAAAATATTCCTAATAACTTCTCTAGTTTTTGAACCTGCGAAATCGCCATAGTTAACCATGGTTTTGAATTATAAAGTGAATCAGAGGTTCTACGAGATATATCTAACAAAAACAAAGTTAAGTAATACTCTGAAATTATATAGGGTGATTCACAACTTATCCAAAAAAATTTGGGAATAGATGCAGCATGAGAAATGGAGTCAATATCGTAAAAAAAGTTTTGGTAAAATCCTTATAGTTTCTGAGAAAAAAATTATTGAAGTTCTAGTACATTTAACCACTACATAGTAGTCTCTAGCGTCATTCGCAATACGTGTGGAGAGCCACGTGACCTCAGCGACTCCGAATACTGAAATCCGGTTTTGCAATCGTCGTTGCGCTAGTGTTTACCTGTTATCTGTGGTGTTTACAATAGTTTTTTAGTAGTTAGTGTGAAAAATGGTTTGCGTATATAGCAACTCGGAGTTGATGGATATCGTTTTAATTTATGGTAAAGCAAGACATTTGTATTATGGTGAAGCATTTGTGTTATGGTGAAGCAAGACAACATTTGTGTTAGTTCGTAGAAACTGATTAAGACGGATCCAAATGTGTTTACACGTTGGTGGATAAAATTTTGAACAATTGTTGTGACATCGGGTATGTCCAAATGATTTTATTATTTAAAAACACAAATTAATTTTATTAATTAATAAAGACAAAACCAGGTGAATTTGCCGATATAAAATAGGTGCTACACAATTTTATTTATTTCTTTTCTTGCGAAAGTTTTTGTCCGTTTTTATCACACCGCCATGCCGGTCGCATTGTGCGAGGTCAGGTAGTGGACCAGTTTCCAGTGCCGTGCAGAAGTGTATTTTTAAATCATTTTCGAACTGCCCTTTTTGATTTTTCTTTACAAAATTGTATTTGTAAGGGTCCCCTGTACATCCAGAATTTTTTTTTGGATAAGTTCTGTATAGGTAAGGTATACTTTTTTTTCTATTATTGGGATGTATCTTACAACTTAAAATTGATTTTTTTACAGATTACAAAATACCCAGATAGATAGAAATAAAAATAGAGATCACTGTATGAATTTGTTATTACATATTAATATTTCATTGAATATTTGAACTGGAATTTAGTCTACTATAGTCGTGATTGATATCTAGACTTTATTATCGAGAATTATTAAATATTTTGAGATTATAATTATGTAAGGGTGGATCTAAGATAGTCGATATATATTCTAAAATAAATCTGTATTATGAATATACAGGATGAGTCGAGGAAATAGTACCAAACTCCAGGAATAGATCCAGCCCCGTGCACAGTAATCTAGTGGTGTGAGGTCTGGAGATCTTGGAGGCCAACTAATAGGACCACCGAGGCCAACTAATAGAATCACCGAGGCCAATCCAACGTCCTGGAAGCCTTCGTGTTTATAGGAATATCATCTAATAGTACTTGTAATTCACTTTGTAAAAAAATAAGTAATGGTCTCTTGTGTGTCGATTCTGCAAAATGCAAGGGCCAAACAAAAAGCTATCGATCATGCCACACCACACGTTTACCGAAAACCTATGCTGAAAATTACTTTCGACTGTTGCCTGAGGATTTTCGTCACAATACATGAGAGTTCCGAGTATTAGTTATGCCATCATGGGTAAGAGTTGCTTCATCTGTAAAAATATGGATCAGGATATATGTGATATAGAAACCGTTGACGATATTCTTCAGCAGCAGCATTAGCATTCTCATTACAAAAACCATAAACAAACACCATATTTGCATACTCTAAATTTGAATAAGTTATTGGAATTTTGTAACACTGATCGTACAAACGTGTAATCAAATGTTAAACTATCGCAACGT